CTCATGGGTCCTTCTTGCTACACTGCTCCCCCGCCCCAACAGGCTGTGTCCTCATGCCGTACCCACTCGGGGGGGGGGGGGGTACTAGTACGATGGGTCATGGGTTCGAGCCATTGCCAGGCGCCAATGTTGCAAAAGAAGGATCCACAAGCGGGATTCAAACCCGGCACCCTGTCTTTCCGGGACAGTGCCCTACCGATTAGGCTACCGGGGCTCACACACACTCATTGGTCCTTGCCACATATTTGGTGCCTTCGGCTTGAAGGGACATTGCCGCCCTGGAAGTGGTATGAAAGCGATACTTGTACACAAGTCTTGACTAGTTTGAGGGAAGGACACAAACGGGAAAAGTCTGAAGAAAAAAATTGACTGTCACCACCAGGACTTGAACCAGGAACCCTCGCTTGTAGCTAGAGATGCTCTCATGTACAAATACAGTGTTGTAATCAGACCTGGTCCAGGGCACCAGTTTTCCACTTCGGGTTGAATTTCAGTGAGCAGCGCAACTGTACTCTGTAAGTGGGTGCCACTGAAAACCACCCGCTTTCGTTTCGGGGTGCGATTAATCAGAGCTCTGATGTACAGCCAGGCATACGCTCCACAATAATGTCCAAATGCACTGCCGCATTAACTAACGTCTTTCCCTCTGATCTACTCACCTCCCGCCGTTTAGGCGCTGCATCTGCGCCTTTGATCCTAGAGGGTGGTGGCGTTCCCACGGCGGATGCGGAAAACTCGGCTTCCAGCCGAGTCTCACTCGAACCGTAAAAAAAAATTTTTTTCCCTCCAACCAGCTAACACTGCTGCTAGCCCAGGAGCTGTGGCATGCTTCATGATCTACAGCAAGAAGGGGCAGCAATGCCTGTAGCTATGGTGAAGTAAAAATACAGATTGCAGAACATAACATGTGTCCCATTTAGACCTCCTAGAATCACAGTACAGGGCACATGGTACCTGCACACTCAGAGTTATTGTAATTTCCCAAGTTTTCGGTGTACTTTTATTTTCGTCACTTTCGGTGCATCTGTTTCATACCTAAAAATCTCAATACACCGAACAAACACTAACACACATAATACAATAGGGAACTGCTGTGCTATACCTAAAGTTTCTGTTCACCAAACCTGGCCTTTTGCCCTCGTACCGAAAATATCGAGCACCTAAAATTTCTCAAATTGGACTACTCAATCTGTGGACAGAACTGTTTCGTCCTTTGTGGACTCATCAGCACAGCACAGAGAAAATGAGGCCGAACTTGATAGCAATGACAAATTAATATATTTTCCAAAGCCAAATTTAAACCAGGCCCGAAAGAACCTTGCCAGCCAGAGTGCTCAAACTGACAAGTCAGTGAGGTCTGCATAATGCAAACAGCAAAGGCACTACCCCATATGAGAGTGCTCAACTACTGAAAGAGCTGGAGCAAAATACTCAATCTGCGGACAGAACTGTTTCATCCTTTGTTGACTCATTAGCGCGGCACAGAGAAAATGAGGCCGAACCCGATATCAATGAAAATTGAACTTTCCAAAGCCAGATTAAAACCAGGCCTGAACTAACCTGAGCAACAGGAGATGTCGAATTGTCCCACGCTGTAAGACCCCCGGTGTATTTCGCGGGTGAAATTTAGCTGGACGGGTTTAACGCGGACAGTAGTTTCAAAAACAATCTGGCAGAGTGGGACACAGACAGAGAAGAGAGCTCATTCGAAAGGTGAACTGACGAGATGGAGTAGCGGTGTGGTCGGGATGGCAGTCGGGATTCAGTCAAGTGCGAAGTCAAGCAAGTCGCTGGGGATAGCAGGCATGAGCTTCAGTCTAGAGATCAAGAAAAATTGTTAGTCCCAGTGCGTCCAATGTTAGTAGGCGTATGCCTGTTTTGATTCCCACTATAAATATTGTATGCCTACACCTCAAGTTTCCTTCCTATTCTACAAATTGATTGACTGTCCTGCCACCCTTCTTTCCCATTTGCTGTGTAGCGCTCCTGCTCACTTTTCTTCTATCGTATTCTCCTCTGTTTGGCGTGCATGAGCAGAGCTGATACCAAGACCGTTGATCGGTTTAGCTGCTCTTGCCCCGGCTCCACTGCTTCGGCTGCCACGGCTATGTGTATCTCTGTGCATTTTGCCGGCGTTTGCACCATGATGGTTTGTGGTTATCTTATAAAAATTAATGTTTAACCTCTTTACCGGGCTAGAACGAGAAACTGGAACCAACTTGAACCGATCTTAAAAGTCAACCTTTCATGACCTAGAACTGAACAAGGAAAGGGGGTCCATAAAGCATTCGTGGTTTGTCAGGCCAGAAGGTCCTGCTGATGGCCATGCTGAAAAGGGCAGTTAATAAAAAACTAGGGGCGAAACAGCCATTGAACCTGAAAATCAACACCTCGACCCTGGGGAAGATCGACAAAAATCGGATTTGCACAGCCCTCGAACCGGAAAATCAACACCTCGACCCTGGGGAAGTCGGACAAAAACCCGATTTGCACAGCCCTTGAACCGGGAAATTGACACCTCAAGCCCGGGGAAGGTCGACAAAAACCGGATTTGCACAGCCCTTGAACCGGGAAATTGACACCTCAAGCCCGGGGAAGGTCGACAAAAAACGGATTTGCACAGCCCTTGAGCCGAGAAATTGACCCCTCAAGCCCGGGTTAGGTCGACAAAAACGGGTTTGCACAGCCCTTGAACCGGGAAATTGACAACTCAAGCCCAGGGAAGATCGACTCGTCGTCAGGCTCAACTCATAACAGGTAAATTACGGCAGATAACTATGAGGTTCTCACTGAAAAGCTTTTGTGTACAGCTGTGAAGTTGGTCACGACCCAATTACTTCCATCAGAGTCCAGGCTGATTAGGGGCCGTCGATCAATTTCATGAGGGTACAGAACGTACATAACTGTGTTTCCAACTGCAGTAGAATGGAAAAATAATGCGACAAACACAGGTAGTGAATAGGAAGTTGAAAGTGTGGCTTGCATCTGGCTTGCAAGTGTTGAGTTTCAGAGAGAAAAGGGCAGTACGAGGCATGTGGCCTCTAATTTCCTAATACTTTGAAATTCTCCGTGGGGTCCCAATTTGAATTTGCAATTCGTAAAAGAGAATAATAAAAATATTCACTAGTTTGAGGGAAAGAGACAAACGGGAAAAGTCTGAAGAAAAAATTGACTGTCACCACCAGGACTCGAACCAGGGACCCTCGCTTGTAGCTAGCGATGCTCTAACCACTGAGCTATGGTGTAGAAAAAATAAAAATAAATATTATTTTGTTGAACTCCTCCAAGCAAGGGTCTCGGATTGAGCGTTACCAATGCACACCTGTGTAGTTCATGAAAAGGTGGCAGGGGTGTAGGACACGCTATGGTCACAACTGTCTTCGGAGTAACACGACTTGCTACAGCTGACCCAGTGGATCAAAAGTTCAAAACTACTGATTTTGGCTACAATTTTCGAAAATTGTCAGCAGACCCCCTCTCCCCCTCTCCCCCACGCCTCTCAAGAAGTAAGTTGTACCTCAGAGCCCTGGCCGTACTATGCTCAACTACCTGCAGTAGCTTTCCAGGAAGCCAAAGACCGTGAAATTTGCAGAATGGACGCCCGATCCACGGAGTTTTACGTGTGGAGTGTTTTCAGTGAAAAATACCCCCTTTTTCGCTGATCCTTAGAGCCCTGGCAGCAATACCTCGCAGCAGTCAAAGGATTTTAAGTATCTGTTCGACAGTCTGCTATAGGGTACTGCCGGGTGCTCAGGAACTGGGGGGGGGGGGGGGGCAGGGTTCTAGCCTGGCCTGTTCGCATTTTTAGCGAACACAGCAGTTTCGTCCTTATTCGATGGTACAGTCAGACCTTGATTAACCGCAAACATCCGTCTTCCTCAAAAGAATTCCGGATAGGCGAGGGAACTGGATAATCGAACAACGACTATGTAGGCTGTACATCTGTAACCAGCTACTTTCTTCCTGATGGCGAGGGATCCGGATTAAAGAGGACCGGTTCAGCGAGGTCTGACGGTACAGTCATGCATGTACATAAATTTATGCAGAGTTATACTTCTGAGCGTACATGACAGTGGTGCAGATTACAGTTTCCGTTCTCCCCGCATGCGAGCGCCTTTAAAGCCATGGCCGTATAAAGTAAAACCCGTGATGGCGACCACTCGGATATGGCCACCACTCGGATATGGCGACCACTCGGATATGGCGACCACTCGGATATGGCGACCACTCGGATATGGCGACCACTCGGATATGGCCACCACTCGGATATGGCGACCACTCGGATATGGCGACCACTCGGATATGGCGACCACTCGGATATGGCGACCACTCGGATATGGCGACCACTCGGATATGGCGACCACTCGGATATGGCGACCACTCGGATATGGCGACCACTCGGATATGGCGACCACTTGGATATGGCGACCACTCGACCATGGCGACCACTTTTCCGTGTCACGGACGCATTCACATTCAAAACAGCTCGGACAAGGCAACCACTCGCTCAACGCGACCGGCGACCACCAACCCGCGACCGCGTTGCACAGTGCTAGTACATGTAAATGCATGCATTGCATGGTGCACCATGCATGTTAGCAAGAGTACATAACCCCCCAGAGTGTTCAACGCCGATCCAGCTCTGCATAGGGTCTTGGTCGAGCGGAATCGAATCTTCAGATGTCACGCGACCACTCCACACCAGCGCAAGGCCGGTCTCGAGGCAGGGCACCGTTGTTTTTGATCCGAGAGTACCCGCGACTCCCCGGGTTCCCCTCAGATGTGTACGGTATTATGACGCAAAGATCCGATTACGCTCGACCACCCCTATGCAGAGCTGGATCAGGCGTTGATCACTCTGGGGGGTTATGTACTCTTCATGTTAGATCTACACATCAGTGCAGGAAGTGTACAATATGTAGATATTCATGGTGCGTGCACGACACTTGACAGGTCTGAGGACCCCAGGCACATGAGTCGTGCTAGAGTAGCATAGGTGTGTGCACTGTGATACACTGATCAAAACGATGTATCACATGTGGATATGGTCACGTGACGCACTGGACCTGGATAAGAAGACCACCTGGCCAGGGCGACCACTTCGTCCCTTGAGGGGTCGCCTTAGACAGGTTTCACTGTGTTCGCAACACCCCTGCTTTCCTAGTTATTTTTAGATGCAAAACGACTCACCCACTATGCCATGCCATAACGGTCAAAGTCCACACAGAAATTTCAAACTAAATCCAGGTGTTCACCCTGCCTGCTGGGTTGTAAGATTGTTCGTATAATACCAATGTCCTATTCCTTCACTTTCACAAAACATACTTCAAGTGTCATTTCATTTATGAAGCCGATGGCTTTATAACTGAGACTGACTTTATAATGGAATATTTCTCCATGGCTTTAAAGGTACAGGTAGACGGTATCTGCAAGAAAATACAGCCTAGACCGTTCTGAAAAATCGGTGAAATAATTCTAGCCTGGCTGTTCTTCGGCGCTCGACAATAGTGTAGTATTCCTGTTGAGTGTTTCCAAACCTCTTGCAAATATCAGCCATGCCACTTCTTTTCATAGAGACAGAAGAACGAGCAGTTGTGGTTTCCTAGCTCTGAGTTTCATGAACTAAAGCGGTCATCAGACAACACTTGACACTGACGCTGGCCTGAGAGTAGTGCTATATACATGTACCATGCATGAGGCAAGCCCAGTATAACAATTGCAATGACAATTGATCTACGTGGAGATAAAAGTTAAATAATAGCTATGAAAAGTATGAATGTCGCAGCCATCACCACGCAACATGACAATTAATTTTGTTCAAGGTTTTAGATTGTGTGTTGCCAGAATCGATTTTCAAGCTCCGATCACACAATCCAAAACCTTGAACAAATTGTCATGTTGCGCGGTGATGTCTGCGGCATTCATACTTTTCATAGCTATTAGCAATAACAATTACTTCTTTTTATAGAAATCAGCTTCATTCAGAGGCATTCCCTAGGCTTACGTCGATAAAAGGCCTTGTTATTATAGTACTCGAAGCTTGCACTGCAGGTCATTGCTACCTCTGGCAGGACGATCACTGGTGAGGTGATGGAGCTGGTGTGCACCTCAGCGCCTGAGGCATGCTGAATGCGCCGGTCTGAGGTGGGGAAGAAATACATGAGAAAGAATCCAAGAATGTGTGAGATATAGAGAATGAATGTGTGTGTGTGTGTGTGTGTGTGTGTGTGTGTGTGTGTGTGTGTCATTCTCCTGGGTGGTTACCAACAGCCAGTGCATGCCGGAGTATGTGGTGTGATGTGTGTGCGGGAAAAAAAATGAATAGACCAAAAATAGGGATTCACTGGCCAGAAAAATCACTTCAAATAGCTGTATGGTGTAGACCAGGCTGACTAGTGACGGTCAATTCTTCAGCCTTGCAAGCTGTTGAATGGTGCAATCCCAGCACAAGTTGCTATGGCTTCTGCCGTAGCATTGCTATCATCGCCTCCGGCGATGGGCGTCAAAGGTCAAAGGTCAAAGGTGTGTGTGTGTGTGTGTGTGTGTGTGTGTGTGTGTGTGTGTGTGTGTGTGTGAGAGAGAGAGAGAGAGATTTAGAGAATGTGTGTGCGGATGCGCGTGTGAGTGTATGTGTATGTGAGAAAAGGGAGAGAGTGTGGGTGTATGTTTGTGTAGTGGTGTGGGCATGTGTGGATTTGGCATCTGTCCCCAGCTCTATTCTATATCATTCATGCCGGAACTGCTGCTGCATAGCCCCAAGTCTGAAGACTTGGCAACTTCACGCCTGCACCTGACTCTTGCGCTATGATACACGTCGCCTATGACACCCCTCGTAATTTCCCACCTTGCTCCCCCTTATGTTCTGGCTGCCCGTTTTGGATCCATCAGTTGCCTGATGATCGTAGAAACACGTGAAACGCAGAGTTGTAACAAAGCTTCCAAACTCTCTCTTGTGAGAAAGAATCCATCCGAGCTTCGGTGAGACTGCTTCACAACTAATGTGTTTGACTACAAATGCGGTAAATCAATTGTGCAGTCAGACCTCGCTTTTAACCGCACACATCCGTTTTCCACACAAAAAAAACACGGATAGGCGGGAGAACCGGATAATCAAACACACATACTGATGATAGTGTGCATATTCATGGCGTATGCTGTAAATCGGTAACGGTGACGATTCTCTACCGGATGGCGAGGGATCCGGATAAAAGAGGAGCGGATAAGCGAGGTCTGACTGTATTTTGTAGTCGCTTCCTACTTTTAAAGTCCTTACTGAAATGTGTCACACTCCTTGTGTAGTGCTGTTTTCACTTACGTAGTACTGATCCCCTGATCGATAACACTAATCTTATGAAAGTATAGATGACTACGATGTTTCTTTTCTTAGTTCAAAAATGGTTGCGCTAATCGACAGGCTCGTACGCCCGGAACGATAACCGCAATGTCGGGTATAAAAGCGAAGTGCTTATGATCGTATAAGCAGGGGTTGAAACCATGCTTCTATTCAAGTTATGCTTCTATTCAAAACATGTTCCTACGTCAACATTTTTCAGTCTACACTGTGCAGTTCACACATTGTCACATATGTAGTGTGCAAGTACATGCTATAGGCACGCTTCTATTCAAATCGTGATTCTGCGTCACGGCGCGCTTCGAAAAATCGGCTTCTATTCGAGTCATGCTTCTATACGGGTCATGCTTTTATCCGGGTCATGCTTTTATACGGGTCATGCTTCTATACAAGTCATGCTTGTGTACAGGTCATGCTTCTATACAGGTCATGCTTCTATACAGGTCATGCTTCTATACGAGTCATGCTTCTGTACAGGTCATGCTTCTATACAGGTCATGCTTCTATACAGGTCATGCTTCTATACGAGTCATGCTTTTATACAGGTCATGCTTCTATACAGGTCATGCTTTTATACAGGTCATGCTTTTATACAGGTCATGCTTTTATACAGGTCATGCTTTTATACAGGTCATGCTTTTAAACCTTACACTACAGTAAGTGATGCGGAATGAAACTAGGCTTCATGTAGAAAGAGATGTAAAACAGAGAGGTTCCAGGCTGTCCAAGAGAGTGCTCAATACCGAGAGAGGTAGAGCTGGTTCAAGCAATAGGAGGACAGAGAAGGTGTTTTACTCCGAGTTTCACGCTTAGTGCGTGAAACTCGGAGTAAAAACACTTTCTCTGTCCTCCTATTGTTTGCTTTATAGAAAGAGATACTTGGTTAACCACGACCTTTAATCCTGCTGATGAACCATGTACGCACGTTCCACTGTCCAATCGCATGTCTCGGCAGCGCATAAGTCTTCCCGCCATCTTAGTTGATTCTGCAAAAGTCGGCTTCTATCAAGTTTATAGACCTCAGCGCAGACTGAATCCGATTCTGGATGAAAACATTCACAAAAAATATTCACACAAACACACGCATGACAAAAGCCAAGAAAAATGTTGCTTTAAGCGGGATTCACAGAAGCTTTTTTGCGATGCGACACGCGATGCGACGCGATCTGCGATGGATGCGTGCGATGCGAACTCGCGAAATACCATTCACAGAAGAAGTCAGCGATGCGACAAATTCTTACTGATTTGGGTACGTCACCATGATATTCGCTCGGTTTGACACAACTTGTAAAAATTTATAGGCAACTCTTGAACCTTTGTACAACTTTGCTGTAGAAAAGGTCAAAATCGTACGCCAAATCGCTTGTCGCATCGCATCGCATCGCAAAAGTTGAGCCAAGCTCAACTTCTGCGATGGCATGCGATGGCCCAGTTGCGGCAGTTGCGTGGGGTGCGACATGGCTGCGATTTGGGGTTTTCCCGGTTTCGCGCCTGTCGCATCGCGTGTCGCATCGCAAAAAAGCTTCTGTGAATCCCGCTTTAGGCATATTTTTTAGAAATTGTTCTTGTTGGCCAGTTCGCTGTAGAATGTCAGTAAGGTCGGTCAGTGTCGTGCAATGTTGTCGCACGAGCTGATTGTTTAGTAACTGGTGGTGTTAGTGGACATTATAGCGTAACTTTTAGTTCCTTTGTCCTTTTTCTTTTCTATGGATTGTTCTTGATTCATTTATGTGGTGGTAAATACACACTTGGCAAGATGGTGGTAAATACAAATTTTTCTTGATGTCCAAGTTTTGTTTAGCAAAGAAAAAGAACTTGGGTGGACCTTTTCTATAGATGAAGCTGTGAGAAGCCTCATTACTCCTGCAGACATCACTGCGGTTAAGACCGCCAAACACCAAGTATTTCATGTCCACCCTTGACGCCAAGCTGACGAACTATTCTACCATCAATGTGACCGTGTTGCATCGGAAGTGGCTACATCTGCTGTGTAGCAGGGTGGTCGAACGGTCATCAACAATAGAAACGGTTTCACATCTTTCTTTATGTTACCAAGTTTGTGCATGAAGTGAGTGATCATGTCAGTCTAGACAACAGAACCAACATGGCCAACAGCCTGACGAGTGGAGTTGGGACCGACACGGCTACCTCATGTGGTCATGTGGCAGATGTGAAACCACTCTCTACAGGCTTTGCCGGGTAAATATTCTCACTGAGATTCTCAAGTCAGGCATCGCTATCTAATTCGAGGTTTCTATTTATTCATCTCGCTCTCAATATGACAACAGTAGATATCCGTATTGTGTTGAACATGTGCCAATACAACGAAATCAACTCCAAATTTGCAACACAACGTGGAATTTCAAAGTTCTCAAAGAAAAAGTACCAATATTGTGAAGATACAGCTTTCAAAGTTCTCAAAAAATGAGTACAGTGGAGATTGGATATAACGAGACTCCTTACGGAGAGTAAAAAATGTCACTATATTCGATCTGTCACTAAACCCGATCTTCACAAAGGACTTACTAAACGGCTTGGGCAACAGAATTGTGTCGCTAAACTCAATCTGCCGTTATATTCAAGGTCGTTATATCCAATCTCCACTGTATTATTATCCTGAAGATATTACACCTTGAACCGCTAAACTGTGCTCAGAATCATGGCTAGGTGCAATATGCCAGTCACAATACCAGAGCTACCATGTCTCTGACTCTAGTTGGTGTCAAACAATTTTGCATTTTTCAGTTCAGGAAAGGGTTTCAATTTACGTTTTTCACATACAGTCATCAGGGGTGTAGGGTGCCCGGCCGCATTTCATGTATGTGCAGGATGGCTCGTCAGGCGAAATTACTGGTCAGTCGGCGTCACGCATTTTTCACAAAAATTTGCGTTTCACCTGCTGGGAGAGTATGCGTGTACTCGAGTCTCATCCTGAGCACGTTTTTTTCTTCTTTTTTTCAGCTCCAGTATAGCTGTATTTTTCATTGCAAAGCCGTCCTCGATTGTTGTGTTCGTTGCTCAAACGAAGTGGACATTCAATCATGAAGGCAGAGGACATAGGAGCCTGATTGGAGTTTCTCGTGGCATAGGACGCCCACACAGAGACACTTTGGGATTTTCTGAATATAAAATACCGTACGCACGATGCTGAGATCAATTTGTGCGATATCAAATTGTTTGTGATCTACCACATCGAGCGGAACGGGATCCAAACACAAGTTTACCGACGGTTAGGCTGCCGACCTGACTGGACAAATGATCCCTGGCTTCACCAGACGCCAGACGTCGGACACCATGTCCTTTGCCGCGACGTCCATCTCCAAAAAGAACTCCATCTTCGTCGTGAAAAGGCTTGAAATACTCAATATTCAACCGAGATTCGCGGTCTCACCCTTTCTCAGATCGAATCATTTTTTGTTGTAGCAGTTGCAGGGCAGATCCCCGCCACTACTTCAACAGAAGATGGCTCCAAAGCATGCCTGGAACAAGCCATATCGAGGTTGCAAGCCACCCCTCTCAGCACTTTTTTTGAAGAAATTCGAAATTTCAATGGTGGAAGATATACTATGAAGAGAATTTCAAAAAGTATATTTCGCGGAGCGATCGCTCAACCTACGTCATTCAAACTTTGCAGGATGGTTCAGATGTACATGCTAGGCATGAAACCACAGAAGATGATATCATAGCTGACACACAGAGTCACACACACAGCAGATTCGTGTGCACAGATACTAAATTAGTGGACGTCGTCATCTTCTTCCCGCTGATCTCAAATGTACGATGACGTGCTATTTCGCCTGACGGGTGCATGTCGTTCATGGTCATGACATGAATGCTGAACATAGGTCAAAATAATTTCTAGGAACTCCGAGATTCACGAGCCTCCGTGCCCGATGCGAGCTACTCGCCTGGTCATGGCCTAAGAAATCCGACCCGTGAGCCAGAAGCAGCGCTATGGCTCGTGTGGGTCAAGCGGCCAACTGACCTAATTGAAATGGAAACGTGTCGCTTCTTTTGACTCACGGTCAGATTTCTTTGGCATCGACTCTACTACATAGACATACACGCACACATATTTGATCAAACATTTGAGTTCTTTTATTCTCACGATGGCCTGTGGCCAATAAGAGAAAAATAATTACAGGCACGGGGATCAGATACAGAGAGATCAAAGTTTAGCTGCTTGCTGAGGCAGTAGCGACACTGTTGTTGTTGTTGTTGTTGACTTTTATTTTACTTCACAATTGCACGGGCATGATTGAAAATGTGCGCTTCCATACACGCCACACCAGTGCCAATAGAGAAGTTCTGCATTTCGAATTTCGAAGAACGTTTTCCGGCGGTTGCGAGTCGGATATGGAGTTTCGGAAGTTCAGATCACAAGCGGTTTTGCACTCCAAAAAGTTCTTTTCAACTTCTCAAAACCCGCGCTAGCTGCTAAGTTGTTGCTATGGGCAGCTAGAATGATGTGAGCATGTTTAAAAAAAACCTCATTGAACGGGAAATTCTCACAAATTACCGCCGATGTCACAACATCTTGGCTGGTATTGAAAAAGAAGCGGAAAATAACGCTTCTTTCTCGACGGCTCCTTTCTCGACGGCTCCTTTCTGTTCACCTTTTCCAAAGGTTCGCCTGCTCCGCCAACTTCCGAATCCAGTAGTGGAAAAGTATTCTGAAACTCAACGCGCAGAAAGGCTATCTAATAAGAACAAAGACACAACTTTTATCTCCGGCACACTATTCATCATTTACTTCCTCCGTTAACAAAAACTTCGTGATGGATTTTTGAGGGGCTGATTTGGGCACAAACTGCCGTGAAATGAGTCGCAATCACTTTCTTGGCCTTCCCCGGCATGCCATGAAAGAGGTACGATGCAAGGAAAGCGACCTTTCACAACAAGCCGAGCGGAATCGATGGTTGCGCTGTGGAAACTTAGGTGATGACAGTCATGGCGAGCGAAACTGAAATACCACTTCTCCGAGGGGTTATTGCGCTGCTTGGCCTCTCTACCACTTTAGCACTAAGTAAGTTGGAGAGCGGTAGAGAGTGATAAAACGGAGCAGCGAGCCCACAAAATGAGCGAGTGGACAAGGAGCTGCTCCGATCGCACGGCTCAATGAAAATAATTCTGAACTCAAGTTCTTGTTCAACCTGCGCAAAGCGCAGATTCGAATGCTGATGACCATGCATTATTTCAGAAGTATGCAGTCCGATACGAGTCTCATGGCTAAAGAAAGTCGACTGGACTTGCTAGCCGCTGCCGTTCAGTGCTGGCAGGGGTATCCATTAGAGAAAATGGAATCAGTTTGGCTCTGCCTTTACTCCTCGTTTCGCAGAGTTCTGGAGAACGAAGATGAAACCAGGGAGTCGTAAAAATATTTTTCACGACTCCCTGGTGGAAAAGAGTAAACGCCATCGCGGCGGATCACGCAGCTTGAAAGCCAACTTACTTGAACGACGGCGACATCAAGGTCAGCGGAGTGTGATCAAAGAAGCCGAGGCAAGGCTGAAACGAGCTGAACAACGACTTGAGAAAGATGACGACTCGCGTGCAGCAGATGACGACTCGCGTGCAGCAGATGACGACAGCCACGCAGGTGAAAAATGAATCGGGCGAAAGCGACGCAAACTGAACTCTCTGCTCATTCCGCCAACAGTTTCTCTTGTAAAGGCGCTGTACACAGGATGAACTAGCTTCGTCCAGTGATTATCAGTCGATACAAACTGTTCTTGACCTGTTCTAAGCGTTTTGATATCCATCAAAATCCATCACGAAGTTTTTGTTAACGGAGGAAGTAGATTATCCCAGTTATGCCTATTGTTGATAAATATGGTGGTAAAGACACACCTGGCAATATGGCGGTAAACACACGCCTGCCCACACACGCTCTCTAGGCTGCAAAGTTCTGGCAATTTCATTCTCCCAGTTATGCCTGCCTAGATAATTATCATGTTCAAGCGGAGAGCACTGCTCAAGACTATTTCTTCATTCCTTGCTTTGCTCACCTATTGCTCATCCCTACGTATACGGCTTTGGTATTATGGAAACCCCTCGATAGAATCCTTTTAAAAAGAATAAAAATTACAAATTACAATCAGGGCAAAACAAAATACACTGCTTCTTACCTGCTGCGGCAACAGCCAAGTACAGAGCCAGAAGGCACACGAGTCGCCCGCTGACATGCATCTGTGCGCTAATGGCACCGGGTCCCGCAGAACAGCGTCGCATCATGGAGGGTAGAGTAAAAAGGAATTATAATCGAATCCGGGGGCTAACCGGCCGTTCCTCTCGATTCCAAACTGACCGAAGTCTACCTACGTAGCACAGCCTGGGAAACTGTCTCCAGTAATCAGAAGATCAGGTAATGACAATGACTGCGGAAAGTGCCACTTCTCAAGTGTGTTGGCACTCCACTTGGCAGGCTCGCGCCCGTCGCAGGAATAGGGTTAGGGATAATGTCAAGTGTGGTGCAAGCCTGTCGCTTTGGTGTGACCCTTCACCTGTCAGTCTCACTCAGCTTCCTACGCACTGAACCTGCACCTTTGGCCTTGTTAGTTGCGGTCAGTAGCTGATGAGCAAACCGTGAAGCCGAAAGGCGTGCAAGTCTACGACGCGTCCAGTTATTCTGTCAAGATCACACAAAGCAAATAGGCAATGAAACCCCAGGTGAGAAGTGTGGGGGGGGGGGCACGAACAGTTAATAATTATTCACTTGTCCTGTCTTTCTAAATAACATGCTAATGCACATGTCCTTGGTTTAGGTTTTGGCCTTTTTTCGTGCTTTGGAGTTATTTGTAGTTTTGGAGAGTTCCGTCCTCTCCACCGAAATGGTTTTGAAAAAAACTTTAATTTTTTTAAAAAACAAACAGTAAGGCCATGGTAAAAAATAAAGTTGATTCTCAGGTCATGAGCCTGTGAAAATCGGTGCGAGCGGGCGATTTTTTATTTTAATTCCCACAATTTGTTTTATTTCCAAAGATAGGGTCACACATGTGTACGTCACAGGTTCATAATTAATTTATAATTTTTTTATTCAGGCGAGGGAGTAGAAAAATACCGGTATTTTACTACTCCCGGATTCATGCCTTTCGCATTGACCATTTTCATGCACGCATATGCATGCATAGAAATAAAATAAATCGTCGGTGCGCCACCAAAAATCGATGCGCGCGTACTTGAGAATCAAAGATATTTTTTACCATGGCCTAACAGTTAGCGTCGTGGCAGGCAGCAGGTACTACAAATATAGCCATCAGCCAGAGTAAAAGAGGGCTCTGTACCGTGCATATAAGCACTGCACTACATCAGCAGAGAAGTCACCTAGCCTATATTGTGACCTAGGCATTATGCATGCGCAAGCCAGCCACTTGAATATCCCCAGATGCCAAGGTGAGAAGCGTGTGTGAGACTGTGTCACTCTAACAGACTGCATTAGCAGAGAAGTCACCTAGCCTATATTGTGACCTAGGCATTATGCATGCGCAAGCCAGCCACTTGAATATCCCCAGATGCCAAGGTGAGAAGCGTGTGTGAGACTGTGTCACTCTATCAGACTGCATTAGCAGAGAAGTCACCTAGCCTATATTGTGACCTAGGCATTATGCATGCGCAAGCCAGCCACTTGAATATCCCCAGATGCCAAGGTGAGAAGCGTGTGTGAGACTGTGTCACTCTATCAGACTGCATTAGCAGAGAAGTCACCTAGCCTATATTGTGACCTAGGCATTATGCATGCGCAAGCCAGCCACTTGAATATCCCCAGATGCCAAGGTGAGAAGCGTGTGTGAGACTGTGTCACTCTAACAGACTGCATTAGCAGAGAAGTCACCTAGCCTATATTGTGACCTAGGCATTATGCATGCGCAAGCCAGCCACTTGAATATCCCCAGATGCCAAGGTGAGAAGCGTGTGTGAGACTGTGTCACTCTAACAGACTGCATTAGCAGAGAAGTCACCTAGCCTATATTGTGACCTAGGCATTATGCATGCGCAAGCCAGCCACTTGAATATCCCCAGATGCCAAGGTGAGAAGCGTGTGTGAGACTGTGTCACTCTATCAGACTTCATGTACTGTAGTCACGTCCGCCTGCCACCGAGAGTGAAGACCGACGTGTTCAGACATCAACTACAGCCAATTCCTGATAAAACGAACACCATTGCGCAGGACAGTAATTAGTGCTTTAAAGCCGAAGTTCGTTATAACAGTAATGCACTCATACAAGTAACTTAGCAAGTCATGACTGGCAAGTGATCCCTGACAGTATGCATGAACTTGGTTTACCTGCGACCCTACAAGATTTGGTTCGTTATAAACGAAAACGGTTCGCCATAAATTGTCAATTTTGCACGGGTTCAACAAGAGTTCGCTGTATCACGAGATTCGCTATACGCGAGTTCGTTATAAGTGGAGTCGAAAGTGATGCCTAGATGTGATATAGCGGAAGTGATGCCTAGACCATTTTAGTCAGCAGAGCTATGTATAGTTTCTCAATAACTCTGTGGTAGATTTGGTGTCACGTGTTTGTTTCGTCTTCGTCGCTGTGGATACGCGTCATTGGTTGGTGGTGTTGTGCGCATGCGCGAAACTGTGTGAGCTAGTCTTTGGTCTGTCGTCTTGTCAAGATGTAGTCGTTTTCCGTGTTCTTGTTTATTCGTCAATAAAAGAGTGTAAAAAGGCAGTCCAGTGGTGGCGGTTGAGCTGATGCAGTGATGGAGAAGTAGTGTTAGACTAACAACTACAACATTTGGCGCCCAACGTGGGGCTCGAACCCACGACCCTGAGATTAAGAGTCTCATGCTCTACCGACTGAGCTAGCCGGGAGAAGTAGTGTTAGACTAACAACTACAACAACTCCACCCTCTCCCTTGCATTTGGTAGATGCCTATTATGCATTGGGAGGTCATTTTTGGTCTCTTCTGTGCACTTTTCACAGTTTTCAGAGGTTCCTCGTTGGAACAACCAACTTGTTCACAGAGTGTACATGTATTTCATTGAAACACATATGCAGTTTGATAGATGTTTGTCCGTCACGCAATCATGTACATGCAGGCCAGGGTGACCGAGGGCCAGTGCCCGAAGAGTGCTCAATTGCATGATGCATGTAGCACCTTTTTTCAGTCCTTTTTTTGCTGTCGTGCCCTCAACTCGCACTCGAGGAGGCCAAAGCAACTTGCTTGTGGTCCCACCTGCTAGCACTGCTCGTTCTGCTAAGCGCCTAACGCACGCTGGAGCCATTATGTGGAATAGATTGCCACCAGCAGCAAAATGTTCAAATAGGTATTTGGATTTCAAATCTCAAGCCTTGCAGTATATATTATTAGCGACATAGGCTTTCCAATGCTCACTGGATTGATATCTGTTCGTTGTAACCAACCTTCCGTTTTCTTTCCTTTCTCTTTTCTCTTATATCTACTTTTCCACAATATCCTTTAACATTTTATTCACAGTGGGTCCAATGTTATTAGGCATTTTGCCTGTTTTGATTTCCACTATAAATCAGGTATACAACAACAACAACAACAACAACAACAACAACAATTCCCGTATAAGGCAGAGCGTTCCACACACACACACACACACACACACACATACACACACACACACACACACACACACACACACACACACACACACACACACACACACACACACACACACACACACATATAGCGAGAAAGGAAGAAGCTACGTTGCAAGTCAGAGTTTCACGTTGTGCACGATCGTCGGCCGACTAATTCTATTTTTCTCATTCAATTCCTGAGGTCGCGGCGTGTGTGAAGCATTTGTTGAGATCACAATTCCAGAAGGGCTGAGACACTTCCGTGACGTACGTGAGAATGCACTAGATTCTGGACTTCTGGCAATTGCGGCGTGAGAATCGACTTGTGAAAACAGTCTGAAACAGCAGACACTTACAGTTATGCTTATGCCTGTGGCAGCGTGTGTCCGTGGCTCCGGGGGGCCCTATGTTGACAGTCCCTGCTATTCAAGCCTTGCTTCAACCCTGGTGATAGAGCACTCGTCAGACTCCTATTCACGAAGCGCTAGAGTGGAGTTACAAAAGCAGCAGCTTTCCCAAAAAAGCACTGCAACAAGGAGGTTCACACTGGCAATGGGAACGATCACATTAATTTTATTGGTTCTAGGTTTGGTCACGCTCCGACTGGTTATTGTTCACTGGGCTCCAGATAAGTAGATTGCTCATTGCTTCTGAGCTGCCTTTAGTTGCTGCTGTCTCGAACCACGTCACCACGCGCACGGCATGGCACCTTGTTCCTTTCTGGGTTCGGCTTCAGAGCCCCACTCGGCGATTGCACCGTGGCCCGTACAGAAAGGTTGCACGTCTAGGACATTCGCATCATTTGCCCGAGCCAAGAGTACATAACCCCCCGTACTCTGGTACTAGGGGTTGTGTACTCTTGGCTCTTGGCCTCATGTAAACACACTTTTTTTGGTTGTTACACAGCCTTCGCACCATCCATGATCATGATCCTCACGAGCTCAGCTGATTGATCAAAGAGTCCGTGCACCTTGATTTCATCAAAAGTACCGGTACAACGACAGGATTATGCCAGGGAGTCGGCAAATACGACTCCTTGGTTTATGTCCTCTTCCTTTCTTTCTCTTTGATCCACATTGCAATTTTGTTGCATGAGGATAATGTACAGTGTAATGGGTTGACGACCGTGCGTCAACCAGGAAGAAGCACCATTTGGTCCGTTAAAATGAAGCGGCTTTTTATTTCCTTTTTCTTCTTTTGCACCGAGATATTATTTCTTGCTGTTTTTTACCGGATGTGTCACGACTTTGAATTGAATTGAATTTTCCTGAATTGATTTGGTTTTTTGGGTTATTAGCGGCTTTATTGACATTGCTCTTCCGATTGGATTTTTTTTATCAACATACAGTCACAATTTCAATGATGCATCGATTATTTCCCTTTTAATACACCATATCGAGTGTAGCATGCTGCATAGTGCTGCTCCATGCGGCATGCCCATATCTTAACCGATTATTATCACTCCCTTAGTATTGACTCACATAGATTTTTGCCATACCTAAGCAGTCAAATATTCCTGCATATTTCACTCCTTAGGGCTATATTGACTGCTTATATTCGACTGCTTAGGGGTTGCGCAGTTGAACGGTGCCTTGTGCAGCATTTTCACTGCATGAGTAGGCCGTGGTGCAACGGTTGACCAATCATAAAACCGGGATTCATGAGGTTATCGTTCTGGAATTTGAAATACGGACTGTTTGTCGTGATAAATCTAATATTGACTTCGTACTTGGTCAGTATAGGAAATAAGTATCTAATATTGACTGAGTACGAGGTCAATACAGGAAATAAAAGCCGAGTAAAAGACCGAGGCGAAGCCGAGGTCTTTTACGAGGTTTTTATTTCCTGACACACCCTGACACACCCAGTTATGTCAAGGCCAACCTGTCCTGGAATGCCACCGCCAACAAAGCAGCTGCAGCGAAGAAGAGGAAGTACAAGCATGCCGCTGAAGAGCTACGAGGCTCCTTTACTCCTTTGGTGTGTTCCACTGATGCTGTCCTCCACCGCGAGTACAGTGCGAACCAGAAGCGTCTCGCCAGCCGCTTAGCAGCGAAATGGGAGAAGCCCTTCTCTGCCATGATGGCTTGGGTACGCGTGCACACTCAGTTTGCCATTTTCAGCGCCGTGGACATGCGTCTGCGAGGCTCCCGTCGCCGTCTTATGGGACTCTCCGTACATGACGGTACCGGCGTTGGAATTGGTCACTGAGTCATGTTCTCGTTCTGTTTTTCTAACTTATTACTTATTAGTATACCTTTTCACTGATGGTCCTTTATCACTGTATTTTTCTCACTGTAGCTCCTCATTGTTGTTGTTTTTTACCAGGCGTGGGCCATCCCCTGATTTCATAGGTGCCAAACATTTTTACGTTTTTCAAAAAATAAATAAATGTTGTACTCTTGGTGAAAAAAACGTCACATCTACACGTGCACAGAAAATCGTAGTCATGTACGAGTAGGGTGTGTTTTTCATGCACTCACCAGCAGAGCGTACAGTCTTGTATGTAGTAAAATTCCTTGTATTTTACCGTACTGGCAATATATTATTATGTTGCCGCGTAACGCGTAACGCAGGGGGGTGCGGCGTAACGCGCGACCAGGCTAGTGCGACAATTTTCGTTGCGTTCGTAACGATCGCCCGGCGGGGTGCGGCGATCTTTTCATTGCAGTTTGCAAAAAATGATGCGGCAATAGCAAAAAAATGATGCGGCAAAAGCAAAAAAGTGATGCGGCAATAGCAAAAAAAGGACTGCGGCAATATAGAAACCTGTGTAACGGCTCCTGTGTAGGCCTTGGCGGATAATGCTCGAAAAGGTGGCAGATTCTGCTTTTTTTGCACCGAAATTGGCAGAACCATACAAACCTTATGGCGGGCAATTCCTCGAATTCTGCTCCATTTCTTTATCCACAATCCACATACCAAACATGCATGAAACTTACCAGAAAAAGTACCGAATTTTGCCAATTTTTCTGCCGGCATTATCCGCCAAGGCCTACTCCTGTGCGACTTTGCATGTAACGCCCTGCGTGCGGTAAACATGTGCCAATGTAACGCTTCATGGCCTCACTGCGACCATATAATTATATTGCCAGTACGGTACTACTATACTCCCTGCTCACCCAGCCCCACCACGTTCGGACTTCCATCGCCAAACGAGCAGAGGTGTTCATAATAACATAACAAGGAGGCGAGTGAAGGTGCAATGAAGTACGAGGAGACTCAAGCAGACAGTTTTAGATAGTCTACCATCGGATTTTGGAAGCACGTCGAGTCTTTAATGTGTGCCAGGATGAAGGACTGCCAAAACTGAGTGATTTCCTGGATTCCATGCCGCCGATGCCACCGATCTCGGCAGAGTTCATATCAGGTCAGGCAGTGAGTGAGTGAGTCAGTTTTGTTTGCCCTCCGAAGATCAAGCACTACTTGCTTGGGGGATGCTCGTTGAACCCCTGCCAGCCGGCCAGCCATGGACACATCGATCTGATCACGGTCGTGAGGGTAGTGGCTGATGTGGATATCCTGATACGCTAAAATAACTATTAATATTTTCATACTGTAATTTCATCAGGTGTGCAAGAATGGACGGACTCGGATGGATTGTTCTATAAATTATTGTAATTAATTTTGTTCAAGTGAGTTACGTGGTGCAAGGTTATAGACAAATTTCTCCTACAGTATCACGACCTCACCACAATACCTACCATACTAGCCTACTCACCCACATCATCTCTACAACTTCACACCTACAAAAGAAGTCCATTCATTGGAAGCTGGCATCCTAACTTTTCAGATATATTATTGTGAAAACAACAGTACATCCTGCATTGTGTGACCCGTGCAATTACTCCTTGCCACATTCGAGGCCAGAAAAGTCCAAGAACAGGGAAATAGAAATTCAGCCAGGTTTTACACAATCAGGACAGGTATGCCACGGCAAAATGTGCTGAGAAGCAGATCCCAAACCCAGATTTTTGAGATTTTAAAAAGTAAACCCCACATCCCTATCACCGATCCACATGCAGCCCCTGCAATGGCAAAATCCGCACCCAGCCCGCACACAAAATTCAAATGCTGTCCCAGCTTTAACCCAACAATGTGACCATTATCATGTTGTCTGAGGACGGCTCGGTTGTCCATGACACACTGAGATTCACCCACAAAGCCATTCTGTCCACTGTTTGATTATTCTACCCTCTGCCTCCATGGCATTTTGGCAACTCTTTGCTCTAACTAGGTGCATCCCTCGTAATAACGACTATAATTATTCGAGACGTAGGTATATCAATGCCTAAGTAGCAATCCTGAGTATTTCTCTCTCTCTCTCTTTCTCACTTGATCTCCCTTCTCGGCTTGATCTCCCTCCCTCCGTAGCTGCATTCCTATCGATGCCTGGTCGTAAGCTATGATTCCGAGACCTCCGGTGGGATGAGCCTCACCAACCACATCGGCACATCGCCCCTACTCCCCTTTGTCTTGTTGTCCAGTGTCATTTCAGTTGCCCTCTTCCCCTGATTATTAGTAGGGCTGTGTTTGCTAGTAAAAAGAAACCATAACTAGTATAGCAGGGAAAGCTATTAAAGCAAGTGCCATTGTTTAAAGAAAAAGGGTAGTGATTACTGCATATACCCAGTGGTGGCATCGATATGTACACAGTGGTGGCATCGATATGTACACAGTGGTGGCATCGATATGTACACAGTGGTGGCATCGATATGTACACAGTGGTGGCATCGATATGTACACAGTGGTGGCATCGATATGTACACAGTGGTGGCATCGATATGTACACAGTGGTGGCATCGATATGTACACAGTGGTGGCATCGATATGTACACAGTGGTGGCATCGATATGTACACAGTGGTGGCATCGATATGTACACAGTGGTGCCATCGACATGTACACAGTGGTGACACCGACACAGGCAACTCATTGACCTAGATGAGTATGCTTCCCCTTTAATGTGGCGAGGAGTGGGTCGGTTTGAGGTCTCAACTGTTGTCCTATCCGCTGTGCAAGACCTCCGTAGGAATAGTAACAGCTGTAAGGAGCAGTAGAATACGATTCTCAAGCATCCTAATAGCCGCTAACCTCGCTAACCGTAGATGGAATAGGGAACGGAAAGAGAAAGGCATGAATACAATCGAAAAGAATGAAGGGCGAAAGGAGAACAAAGGTTGCCTGGAAATGTGCTCGTGTCACGAGTTGTAAGAAGCAGTGCAACATGCAACGTGCTACTCGAAATGCATAAAAAACATAATAATTATTATAGCCATACTGCACTAGCTGTTATTGTCAATCGGATGGTTCACACTGCATAGCAGAAACCGATACCAAAATGCAAAGTGACATGCATAGTGTCAGCACTGTAGCGCACAAACACTTCCGCTCAACTGGATTGTAGATTCAGTGACGATGTTGCGGTATGGCCGCCAGCCACAAGCAGCAAGCTCAACTGGATTGTAGATTCAGTGACGATGTTGCAGTATGGCCGCCAGCCACAAGCAGCAAGCTCAACTGGATTGTAGATTCAGTGACGATGTTGCGGTATGGCCGCCAGCCACAAGCAGCAAGACCTGTCACG